CTCTTCTTTGTTCTGTCACAATTATCGATTTATTTCATTTTGATTATCATGCTCCAAACTTTGCGAGGACTGACCACCCCGCTCACCCGCTTCATACAAACAGAGCCAGCAGCGTCACCGTCCCATTCATAGCTGTGACGTCACTCCCACATCGACACGCCCATTGACACCTGGTGGCCCACCACCAGGTGTCAAAGCCGCTGCTCTTGTCATATCAATAATTACTTATTTCATTCATATGGCTCTTATAGAGCCTCAGTGAAAACGTGTTTATTATTATTAATGCTTTGGTGCAAAAAACTGATTGAAAATCGATTTATTTACTGCATGTTTATGTCTGTTAAGGTTAATGGCACTGAAAGCAGCACTTTAAACCATTCAGACGAACATAGAGACACAATCAAAACTGTCAGATGATTTATTACTCACGACACAATAATGTATTAAATTACCCGCGGCTTAAAGTATTAAATTATGCCTCATAAACTGATCAGTAGATTATTCCGAGGGAACGCAAAAGAAAAAAAATCCCATGTCCCCTGGAGGGCTCCGTAAATATGAACACCTTGTTGATTTTTTTTTTCTTTAATAAAGTTACGAACGTCTTGATAAGGAGCCAGAGGAGGACCTGCTGGTCTCAGCATCCTGGCTGCGTTCAGTTTGTCACCTACCGCGAGATTGACATATAAAACACGAACAGTTCAGAAACAATATGAAATGGGAAAAAAGCTATTTATTAACTGATTAAGTCTTTTTAGATTGTTCTTGAAAAACTAATCAGTCACAGCTGCACAGTGAACCCACTGATTTTTTACAGCAGACAGCCGCTCCCCTCTCTTGCTGGTACCCCTGACCAACTTTCACTCCTGCAGGCAGGTGTCGAGTAGTTGCTGAATAGGTAACTAATAAAAGCAATAAGAGGCACTAAGTTTTTGCCTTCTCTTTTAGATTTGCTATGTAAAAATTTCAAAACCAAAGTAACTCACTGGATCAAATGGCTGAGTCACTTCCTCAGTATGCAGTCAAGTTCTTCAGTGTCTAATGCTGATGACATTATTTGACTCAGGTGTGTTGAAGTAGAGGGATATCTAAAAGGCACCCTTGACTGGAGTTGAATACCTTGTTCTGCCCTTTGTATTGTTTTTTTGGGGTTTTTTTTTTAACATTTTTTATTACATTTTTATATTTTTTATGACATAAAATTCCAGTAAATTACAAAGGAGTTGTAAGATGACAAAACATGAAAATTCAAGGGGTATTGCCTTTGCAAATCATTAAATAATATAAAATAATTTTCACACCCAACAACAAAATAACATGTTTGTTTGAATCAGTAATTATTTTGTCTAAAAGATAACAGAATATTCTTAGGAATATTAATAAATTATATTAAATGGTATTAAAAAAAACAGTGCATCATTGCAATCTAAACATCACACAAAGTAAGCATTTCTTATGGACTATTGTGTTTTGAGGAATGGGTATAATTACCTTCTGTTCAGAGACTTGAGCTTTTACATGGTCGAAGCCCTGGGAGACTCTGGGTGCTGTTGCAGGCTGGCCAGGCAGTGAGGACTCCCAACAGAATGCCTGATGGCTGGGAGAAATGGTGCCACTGGTTGCTGCTGGCACAGGTAAGGTGGAGTGTAGACCAAGCTTCAGTCTGTTGTTCAAGGGCTGAGAGATGGAAATTGGCCAGTGGGATATTTCATGATAGGACAGGGGAGAGGCAGGTGACTGGGACACTTTAGTAGACACTGATGGTATGTTAATGCCAACTCTCATATCTATGGCACCGCTCTGGCCTGGTGCTGTACTGTCCTCTTGTCTTGCTGACAGAATGTCACTGCTATTGGCTATAATATCATGTGACCTCATCAGTGGTCTCTGGAGAGGAGCCAGTTTGCTGAAGTTAACCATTTGGTCATCTACAAAGTCTATTTCTGACATGTCCATTGGGAATCTGTTCATGTTTTCAGTTTCAATACCAGTACAAAGTCTTTTAGGCTCACGGGACTTTCTCTTGAATTTCTTGTTCGTACCTGGGACAGAGATCACAACTGACTCTTTGTTGTCTGTGTTGTTCAAATAATTATTCAGTAAAAGAGATTTTTTCATTTTGCAACAATTTGTATAACAAGTTAAAGCAAAGTTAATTTCAGACACAATTCCATTAAAACAATAAACTTGCAAATTTAAATTAAAATAAAAGACATTTAATTTCTAGACAAGTTTCACCATAGAAGGGTTGGCATTCAGTACATTTTTCTCATTAAAGCATGTGCTTCTTTATTTTAGGAAATATGGATGGTAAAGTTGGTGTATACTTAATTTAAGTAGTCGACAGCACATAGCAAACTACAACCAGAAGATTCAAACGTTGTCTCACACATTCTGTTTAGCAACATAACAGGATGTGCTCTGTCATGGCTGTTACCAGCAGGTTTTATATGGCTCCTCTCTGTCTGCATAACAGCATCCTGAAAAATCAACACTAATACACCAAGCTGTGTAACATATGCTATTCCACGCAACTTTGACTGGAAAATGCAGAGGTTTTCCTGTGCTTCAAAGATTTCTTTCACTGTGAGCAGCCCAGGCCTAACCCTCAGACTGGGGTTCAAGTAAAGCTGTCTAAGTGTGGCTCCAGTCTGTCTGCATAGCAACACTGTGAATAACCCACACTAACGCGCGCACACACACACACACACACACACACAGAATGAAGATATGCAGTACTGCAACTGTTGGACAAAACATACCAGAACAGCTGAAACGGCTTCTGCCACGGATTTTACAACACAATCATATAAGCCAACATCTGTTAGTAGTATATTTATAGACAGTCCAGAAACATTACTTCTCATTAAAAAGAAAATGTTTTTAAGCAGCCAAACGAAACTGGGTTTTAACCTGCGAATTCTAGAAATGAAAGCGTTTTCTAAAAGGGAACAATCGCTGTTATGTCTCACGCACACGATTATAGGAGGGAAATATAAAAATCTACGAGATTTCTTTGAAGACGTATCAGCAGTTCCAAGCGATGTCTTACTGAAGTTCTGTTCCCCTTGCTACAAATAAGTTCACCACAAGCCACGCACTCTGATGAAAAGATCGGACCTAAATTAGGTTTCCACACTGACTTGATTAAGCGATGTCCTTAAAGCATCAGTCCATCCGGAACTTGATTCGTTGTGGATCCAGGAATTGAAAGCGCATAGTGTCCACCAAATCAGCCCTGGAGGAGAACTCCCACCGCTAATGTTGGAAAGATACCTACTCTCTGACTCCTCCCACTCCAGCTCCTCTGGCGTCTGACTGGCTGGATTCTCTCCCAGACACGGGAAAACACATCGAGGGTTGAACGGAAGAGAAAATAACCTACAGAAGTTTAAATAATGAAAACGGGCCAGAGGTCTTGGAACAGGAGTGGACATCCTGATCGTCTGCTTTTTTTTAAATTAGTATTTGGGTCATTGACGTGTCAGAATTTCCACCAGGCTAAATAAAAAATGTAAAAATATGTATGTATATCCATTGCAAACTCTGAAAACAAATGTGTCAAAAACAACACATGATGTGTTAAATTTTAGCACATGTTGTATGTGTCATTTTGACACACACGTGTAAAATGTGTTTTTATAGATTAGGTCAAATAAAAATGGACATTTTCATATGAGAATATAAAGATGCATACTTTTATTAAAATTAAATTCATGTTACAACAATAAATTTTGCGACAGATGCAATAGTTCATCTATACAAGTCAAATTCAAATCACCAATTAATTTACCACTCAGCATGTCTTTTTCTTCAAAGTCAAGCTCGTCAACCAAAGTACAAGATATTGTATCTTGATGCCCCATACCTCTATGAAAGCAGTCCCTCTTGGACAATTGATCATTTTACTTGCCAGCTTCAAGTTGTCCAGTCAGTTCCAGTATGTGTGATTTTCTTTGTATGGAGAACAGCTGATCGTAAATATGGAACGTAAAGACAGGGATAGTTGTGGTGGATAGGACACACCAAGTAGAATCTGAAAAGCTTGTCCATAGTATTCATGACACCAGATGTAGAGGATGGTGACTTCATTGTTCTTGGTATCGATGTCATACTGTGTCAGTGAACTCAGGTCACAGATGTAGATCACGTGGGGATGACGACTTCTTGATGAAGCAGAGAAATGCTTATCTTGTACCAGGGTTAGAGACAAAAGACCAGAAAAATAGCAAAACAAATTAGTTAGTGAAATGATCAGCCACTCTGTAAAATTTCTGATAAAAATACAATTTGTCAAAGATAAATACCTACCACCACAAAATCCAGAAGGTATGTTACTGTAGTGTTAATGCTAAGATGATCTGCACCAACAGGAGGCAGCAGATCTGTCAACAACACAAGTGTGTTACAAGTCTCAAAAAATGGCAAAACTCTAAAAATCTGTACTTCATGGTGTGGATAATTGTAAACACAAATCATTCACCGTTTTATATAATAATCATTTTACATTCCTGTTAATGGCTGACATTATATTAAACACTTTCCATTACAAAAAACTTTCCTCTATGGTAGGTAAACATTTTATTGTTTTTTCAACAAAAGTATCTTTGTAAATTTTTCTCCTGTTTTAATATTAGGACCTGAATTTAGTTTTATATTTTTAAGATTTTATTTACAAAATTCACAAATCCTTGGTTGCACATAAATACCTTCGTCCATGTCTTTGAGTTTTGGTATGATGTCTGCTTCCCTTGTACGAAGAAATAAGTCTGCCTGTTCACCTGTTAGCCTCCCAAACTGAATCGAGCTATAATTATAGGAAAGCAAAACATTTTGTTAGAAAACTATAAGTAGATCATTGTTGGATCGGTCATAATGCTGTAGTGGGAAAAGAAGCAAACCTACTAGATTTGGCATGTCCATAAACCATTAATATTCATTTAGCCTGTCTTATGAGGATAGCTGGGAAAAAAGAACAGTATTTAATCTTAGTAATTCAGTCATAACATGACATAAGATCACACTTTACTGCCTCAGCTTAAAGATTTGTCAAGAAAAAAGCTGCAAAGTATCAAAAATAAGCTTGAAGTCAGCAAATGACATTTTTACAAACAGGACTATGTTTGTAGATTTGATTTCCCATTACATGTGCATTTCAGAGTTTAAACAGTTACTCGGAGGATTAAGCAAAAGGGGATAAAATAAGAATAACATAAAGCAGAGGTTCCCAAACTGTGGGGCGCACCCCCTAGGGGGGTGTGGGGGGGGGCACCGTGCCATTGGGGGGTGGGGGTGCGGGAAGCCTTCTGGATGAAAAAAACAAAACATGAACACTGTATGCTCTGGGTTTTTA